CAAACATGAGGAAGGTGAGGGGTCAGTGGATAGCACTGGGGTTAAGCCTTTTCAACCAGAGTCAGCAATAGAAAGAGAAAAACACAGGCAGAGATGATATAGCCAATAAATTAAATAACGTGGATAGTTTTTATTTATCGTGCGATTAATTGATTTATTGATTATCGCGACAGGCCTATCAACAAGCATTCCAATAAACACATCAAATGCAATCTGAGCGTCAAATATGCGTCCAATGCCTCAATTTAGACGTTGGTGTATTTTGAAATGAGACGCTCTGGATGTTTTGGGCACGAAGCTGCTCTGTTCCTTTGCTTGCGATTTGAAAGAGTCTGCTGGCGTTATTCACTTTGATGAGTTGGAAACAAGTAGTTTTAAGAGGTTTTTGCATGAGAACATTCAAGCCTGTGAAAATTCTACATCATCAGTTTGGATATCGCTGGAAAAAGTACCAAAAATTGTTCCAGCAGTGATTTTAACTTGGACAACATTTGCCTCAGGTTTAGAGAATGCCACAGCAACAGGTGATGAATCCATCTTCAGGCTTTATATAGATCTTTACCAGCAGTGCAAACCGATGTAAGAGGCCCTGCATTTCATTTGTATGAAACTGCTGCCTCACATTGTGCTGTTTAGAGCCTGCTCTTGGGTGGCCGAGGGTTTGCTTGTAATCCCTGGCTGCCGTGCCTCTAGGACAAATAGCTGTATTTATTGCATTTAGCAAACAGAGAGCTTGAGAATTATAGGCAGTGGCCCAATGGCGCAGTATGCATCCAGTGACTGTCTCCAATGCTGGAAAGCCCCCAGCAGGAAAAGTGTAAACAAACACCAGTCAAGTGCTCCCAGCTTCTAACTGACCCCTAAACGGTTGGATGAGGACAGGTTCTGCCAGACGCTAAGACAAACACTGCTAAGAAAACAGTGGGAGATTACAGTGAAAGTAACTGGGACGCCAAATTTTATCAAAAGAGAAGCAGAATTTTTACTTTAAATTCCCATTCATCATAGCCATAATGCTTTTTTGTATATTTTTAACTGATGTTAGAAAAACCCTGAAGACCATAAAAGAGCCGCACTTTACTCTAAAGGGGAAATAAAGGACAGATGGCAAAGAGATCCTGCAGACAAACAAAAGCTTGATAGGAGCAAAGTTAAGAGATGGATGATGATGGGAAGAGAGGAAAGGAGTTAATGATTGGTTTACATCCAGAGCTTCAAGCACGGGTACCAGAAATCAAAGTAAGGCGCAATGAAAAGGAGGAAGGGAATGGAAGAGAAACATGAGAGAGGATGATTGTAAGAGTAGTGAAGGGGCGTATGAAGAGGGGGAAGGTCAGGTTGTGACCCTCTGTCTCCCATGGCATCTGTAATTAAGGAGAGTAAGGGGGGGTTAGCAGCGACACTGGAAGGAAACAGGCGACATGATAATCAATTTGAGACTGAATCGGAAACATGAGCTCTCTGGTGTGGTGGGGGGCAGGTCCCCCCCCCCGCCAGGCCTCCAGATGGCCCAGGCCCCAACCGGGTGCGAGCCCTGTCGGAGCACGCTGAGTCTATGTTAATGTTTGAGTGTGTCTGTGTTTCTGAGAGACAATGCCATCTGCCAGGAGTGCAACAGGAGTTCAGCAGATCTTCTGCCAACACTAGTGGGCGCTGTGGAGCACAGCGGCGCACTGAATGGACCTCCACCTTCATGGCCATGGGGTTGGTTTAGTTTGACATCAGCTGCTGAAGGATTTGAATGTTTAATATCTAAAAAGACTTCTTTGAAAAGGCTAGTTTGTAGCAAAATATAGGTGCAGCTTTGAATTATATGCTTTTATAAATATGGAGAGAAATTTGTTCTATTATTGTTGTGAGCAAAGAACATGTTTTTTAAATAGAACTAAATAAAAAATGCAATCTAGAAATTCAATTTGAAACACTTCCTAATATAAAAAAGGTTTTAAAAGTAACGTTGCTTTTTTTCTTTTCTTTTGATATCTTAGATTTTTTCATATTCTTTTATTTTAAAATTCAGTTTTACATATTGCAATCTTTTCCAATTTGATTTTACAGACCATATTCTCTTCACTTTTTGGGGTGTTTTTTTTTTCCTGGAGTGAAGAGCGAAGACGCCTTTTCATTGGTCTGCATGATGACAGCGAGGGCCAGCTTTAGTATTGGGCTTAAAGTGAAGAGAATGCATCTAAAAAATCAGTTTAGATATGTTAGACTACCCAGAATCACTTCTTTCTAAAAAGAAATTATTTCTAACATCAGTGTAAATTTAGAAATGAAAACTGAATTAAAGTTTTAGGAGAACAGGATCAAAATAGTCAGAGTTTGTGTTTTCTGAAATAACCACAAAGGAAAGTGTAGTTTTCCAGAAATAGTGAATAATCAAATTCTACAGCTCTTAAATATAAGAGTGTTTTGCACTCATATTTATAAGCTAAGCCAACAGTAGTTAAACCTATTCCAAAAAAGTTCAAAAACAATCCACTCACTGCAAAAACGCTCTGAAAATTAGTAAAAATGTCTTTAAACAAGTGTATTTACCTTAAATTTGAGCAGGAAAATAAGATGATCTGCCAATGGAATGAGCATTTTTACCCTTAAAATAAGATAAATTAGATATTATGCACTTGAAGTAAGAGAATATAGTTGTTTTTTCTTATTTTAAATGGAAACTGTCTTATTCCATTGGCAAAAAGTCTTAATTACCTGCTCAATTCAAGAAGAAATGCACTTGTTTTAGGAAAAATTTACTTACTTAGATTTACATTGACATTTCTCTTCCATCCAGGAAGCTTTTTAAATTCAAAATGTCAGAAATAGCGTTTAGTTCCAGGTTTCATCCAGCAGCCCAACAAAGCCTTGTTTTAGTTTAGAAAACATGCAAATAGAAACGGATGAACAGGTCCAACCTTTTGGAATGGGGGTCGTTTGGCTTCTTTGTTAGCCTGCAATGCCCCATACCTGTCTATGTCTATGTAGTTGTACCTATGTTCCACTATTGTGACTGTCTAGTGAAGAGCTATTATTCAGGGTTCTCTTAATGATGTTGTTATCTTTAAATAGACTGTTCTCTCTTTGGGAGTCAAAAGTTGTGCGAAAGCTGCCCATAGTTCAAGCTTAATTAGACTCTTTCCATAAACCTTTAAACTTTCTTTTTAAATACAGGCCGTCAACTCTTTAAAGACATGATTCCTGAATCATTTTATGTTTCAAAACTTAACAGAGAAGGAGAACAGATACTTTTGGGTTTAATTATTAAACAAAACCATAGTAGAAATAGTAAAATAAACACAAAAAAGGTGAAATAATTGTTGTCTTTTTTTAGAGAGAACTCTTTAGATGTATTCAGTGCTAGTTTTATTCCATACGGTGAGCAGTAATGGGAGTTTCTCTGTGTTTGTTGGAGGTTTAAAGTGTGGTGTAAAAAAAACTCAGATGGTCCAGGGCAATAAGATCAGCAAATATGGCATTTAAGATGAGTGTGAGAATAAACTCAGGTCTCGTTAAGGACAGCTCATGGATTTTGCCTCTATGGTAGCCTTTCCCCCTTTTGTGAATAGTGTTGTTTATCTTCTGAATTTGAAAGATTCTGGTTCAATTTCCAATTCCTGGTTTTGATTCAAGGAATCGGAATTTGAACCAAATATTGATTCCATGTTTTTCGGATGTGGGGTCGAAATAGTTAACATTTTTAAAGGAGCTGGCTAACCAGAGTTGTTTCTGAGGGAAATATTTTAAACCTTTTCATGAATTTGAACTGTTAACTTTGAATAAATATTACACAAAATTAACACACCTAATTTCAAGGTACATATTGATATCAAACATATAAACTTCAATTTAAATCTTTTGAAATTTGTGTCAGGCTAAAGAGCTTTCTACATATAAAACAATTAAACAACAAAAACCTATAAACAACATTTACTCGTGCCATACAGTATAAGACAATTTTATTATTTCATTTACGGTATTCTGACTCTGTCATAGTTGTGGGCTGAGTTTTAGAGATCGAGGATAAAGCATCATGCTGTGCTAAAGAAGGCATCCATGCAGAGTTTTTACCTTCAGCCTTCTGACTCTAACGCTAAACAACGAATGACAAACAGTCCTTGAGTGATTCTGGGAGAAATTAAAAGGTAGAACCAGTTCCAGTCAATTCTTGGTGCCCAACCTAATTCACAATAGACATAATGTTTAAGTTGAGCACATGGCTGGTCAGTAGCGGAGAGGATCTATACAAGATATGACCAAATTATTGTTTGTTTAAAGGCAAAAAACAAAGCACTAAAATACTATGAAGGCCTTAGAGCCATAAAACCATCCGAATGCTTAGAGGAAGAAGTTGTTTTTAATGTTGAAGTGAAATGCATCCACTCTGTCATCAGCCCTCTTTGCTTCTCCTTCCTTTCCTTAACACATAGTTTCTGATTAACCGCCTGCTTAATCTAACACACAGCTCCCATTAGGTAGCTCAACATAAAGAACTTGCGGTTTGCACCTTGGCCTTCCGCCGCCCTCCTTCTTGCATCTTTGTCACGCCAAGCTTCGCTCTTTTTAATTGATGCTCATTTTGCCACACTTACTTCAGGAGGGAGAAAAGTCTATGGAAACGTTAATTAATGGTGGATCGGGGAGAACAGAGGCAATTAGTGTGAGCTGACAGATAAGTAGTATGCTGATGAATATAGGAGCTCTACATTGACACACGCCGTACAAACACAAATGTTTTCAAAATATAACTATTCAGAGTTTCAGTGATTTTGAGTTGTTTTTTTCTTTGACATGGATGAGAGTAAACATTCATTATGCAGCTGTTTTTATCTCTTTAAATCTCTGCTCTGTCGCTTTGGGAGTTGCGCAGATTTTGTTGCATAAAGATAGGATCAGTTGTTGTCTAACTCATTCAGATCATTTTGTTTCTGTTTGTTTTTTCTGTAAATATTTAAATATCTTTAACAGTTCCTGCACAATAGTTTCAGTACATTCGTCTTTTCTTACAGGTGAGCCGGCGGTGGCCCGAGAGAACAACTGCCTGACCGCCGCCAAAGCCTGCAACCTGAATGACACATGCAAGAAGTACCGATCGGCGTACATCAGCCCGTGCACCAGCCGCGTCTCCACCGCCGAAATCTGCAACAAAAGGAAGTGCCACAAGGCCCTGCGGCAGTTCTTTGACAAGGCAAGGCACCTCTGACACTGAATGCAAAACAGCTGTTATCAAGCAAGACTTTTATGTCCTCCACCAAGAAATTGTTTTCCAAAAGAGGAATTTTTTGTCGAGTAGATAAATTAGAGGAACTGTCAAAACTTAAATTGAACCGTCGGCCTTTTTTTGTTTGGTAAGGCTGTGATTTTCGAGCACAAAGTAAGTTTTTGTTGTCTTTTTCATTTTCTAAAGTGACGAGCATCATTGTTTTGGCGGCCCATCCCCTATGATGTTCAGCACTATAATCTTGCTGTTTCAACCTGAAAGGAATGAAAATAACTACAAAGAATGCACAAGGTTTTTAATGTTAGACTGGTGTATTTTGTTGACTTCTCTGCTTTACCCGACATAAGCAGGCATTGTTTGAATTTTTTATGGCGCTGATTTAAACGGATTGTGTTCTTTTGTGTTATTTGATGCAGACTATGCATAATAAGCAAGCCGAGAGCGCAGAGAAGTAGCATGCACTCATGCTTGTGACATCAGTATTTATTATCCATGTGCACTTTTGATAGAATTCTGACCTCACAGAAAATATTATCAAAATTATTGTATTCCTGTCTTACAAGATGTTACAGTATATAACGCTGAATACATTTCTGGGGGTTTACTGATTTTACATAATAATCCAGCTAAACTTTCTAGAGACAAGAACTATGTGCACACGTTTAAATTTCCCGGTGAACTAGAAAGGAATTACAAGCCGTCCATTGTCTATAAGCGCTAATTTTAGAAAGGTCGTTTCCTGCCTATTTTTCCCCTGAGTGAGTAGCTGAACTCCCTGGGAAGGTTGTCATTCCATCAATTGGGAACACAGCCAGATTGATACTGTGTAGAATTCAAGTTGAACTACTCCAAAGCCTCATGTAGAAAGTGTTTGCAAAAGGGACGGACATTCAGTCCAGTTCTTCAAGCTGATTGGGTAACTGTCTCCCATCTCAAGTGTTGAGCCAACTGCAGGAGGAGCTTCACTTGTTTCACTACTAGTGGAGTTAACTGATAAATCAAACTCTTACCAAATCCGGTCGGGGGAACGAACAAACATCTTCCAATCCACAAAGGTAAAAAATTGCGTCCATTTGCTCGTTTTTTATAAAAGTAGTACCCGATATTCCATCCATTAACCGGCACAGCCATGTTTGTTTTGCTTCAGCCACATGGATGCCATATTCCTGTGCAACCCAAGTAAGAGTTACATCCACCTTTGCTGCACTAAGTCACACATGTTTCCAATGTGGGTTGAACTCTGTCATCCACCCTGTTAAAAGACAAACGAAATGTGTAATTATGGATAGGAGAGTTTATGGTTTATAAACTGCTGAATATTTCTCTTTGCTTTTGTAGATGATATAGATCATTGAAGCCATGTCTTTCAGCAGGCACTGGACCCATTTTCTCTTAAATAGAATTTAAAAAATGGAATAAAAAAAAAAGACAGACATCCCACCATGTTTTCCAGCCATTTTCCAAGTAGACTTTAGGGAGAACATAGAATTGTATTTCCTGTATGACATGGGAGGCTCTTGCTTCCTGCAAACAAGCAAAACTAGCACTGACCCATCCCTTGCTCTGCCCCGAAATCCAAAATCTAGACAAACACATATATATATCCTACACTCCCAGAGCTAACAATAATAACTTTCTAGGCTAAAATGTTCATCACAGATCACTTCTGTGTCACAGCATACAGTGTCTTTGACCTGCCAGGCAACCTGTGCAATAATATATGACATTAGGGGTACCTCCATCACATCAGTTCCTGATGTGCAGGGGGCTTTGACCAGGCATCAATATCTGATGGGTTGGGAGTGAAACATTGTTGTCAAAGTTCTAAAGCTTCACCTTAGATTAATATTCTTTGACAATTGTACATAGGTTCCTGTTTCACCAGGACAATGGCCTCAAACACTCATCAAAACAGGTTTTGGTAGAAATGAAGAAGTATAAACTCAAGCTCCAAACTGTAGTAACAGTTTATGAATTGAATTTGAACTGAAAAAGCTTCCTGGATGGGAAGAGAAACGTCTTCATACTTGTAAACAAAGTCCAGTGGATTGTTTTTTGACCTTTTGGAATAAACTATGACCTGTATGACTAAGAATCTTTACCAACAGTTTAAGGAATTACTCCTGAAAGTAATCTGTGGCAGTAAAAAGACCAGTTATAGGGAATTTTTTTCGCACCATGAGTACCCTTCTCAGTCAAAAGTACTGATGGTTGTCCAAAAGTGTCAACAAGGGGGGTGTGGTTGCTTGACGACCCAAAAGCAGAGATGAGTTAGGCAGAGATGAGTTAGGCAGAGATGAGTTCTTGAGGGTTAAGGAAAAACTGAACAAACATCCAAAAACACAAAAATACTGAGAACACAAAAAAAACAGCAAACATCAGGGAAAACCAGAGATGAGGAAGCAACTAAAAACAACAAGGAACCAGCACTGAAGAACTGCACAAGCAGAGTATATATGGGAGACAGAGACTAATCAGCTGATATGGAGCAGGTGTGGATGGGAGAGACTAGAAGGGAGCTATAGGGGAAAGGAGACAACAGAGAGCAATTAAAGACGGGCTTAAATCTAACACAAAATGGAAAATAAACCAAAGATCAACAAAAAAGAATTACTCAGATAGTGAAAACTGAAAACTAGAAACTCAATTCCCAGAAAGCGAGAGCCATATCAAAAAGTGGAATGAACAATAACTGAAATGAAGACTATTTTACTTAATCTTTGGACTTGAGCATTTAATTCTTATCATTTTATCCTTTACATCTCACAATGAAACAAAAAAAAAAACATAATAAATATGTTACCTGAAAGTTTGTAAGAAATAGAAATAAATGTAAAATAAAATGATATTATAAACCTGTATTTACAAATCTGGAGCTCCTCTGAGTATCTCTCCCATCACATTTAAACTTGAGGAATTAAGAACAAAATGCTGAACAAAAATGATTGTCAGGCTGACCTAATTAGTTTTACTTTGTTTTCATCCAGACACCTGAGCTTCCTTTGATGAGCTCCGATAGCTCACTGTTAAAAAGAGGTGATAGCAGGCTGTTCTCTACATCCAGTCTGTTCCTCTGCTTAGTTTGATGAACTCAAACATATAAGAAAAACGTACTTGTTGATAAAAGCTTGTTTAATTTTTAAAATGGTTCCTCACAAAGCCAAACTGAGCCCAGCTCTATTTTATCTTACTACTTTATTTCTTTTACTAAGAAATAAAATATTTTTGATGTACTCCTTTCAATGCACTCAGGACCACTAGGGGTACGAGTACCCCAGGTTGGGAAACACTGCTCTATGAGAAACTACATTTCCCTTAATTAATAAATTAATAATTGAATAAAGTATAATGGGCTCTATGCACAGCTCCACTACTACCTGAATTGAATGCAGCTCCTTTGTTTCCTGTCTTTCATTACTGGACGAACTGATTAATCCAGGTGTGTCTGGCCAGTTACTTAGGTCATACACACCTGGATTAATCAGTGCATCCAATCATGAAAGACAGGAAACAAAGGAGCTGCATTAAATTCAGGAAGTAGTGGAGCTGTGCATAGAGCCTATTGAGTTGAATAGGGGTGAATGTGGCCTTGTATTAACAAGTAACACTATGAGACACATACTGTGCAGTGAGACAGAATATCATAGCAGTGTATTCCCTCCTGAAAGAGATGGATACTAAACATTAAACCACATGGAAAGTGAAAATAGCAATTAGACAAACTTAATTGAAAATTCAACTTCAATTGTTTTTTGCTCCACAGGTTCCTCCGAAGCACAGCTATGGCATGCTGTTCTGCTCATGCCCCGTCAGTGACCAGACGGCGTGCTCTGAACGCAGGCGTCAAACCATCGTTCCTGTCTGCTCTTATGAGGAAAAGCAGAAACCAAACTGTCTGGAACTCCAGGAGACCTGCAAGACCAACTACATCTGCAGGTAGGAAACAGCTTTGAGCTTTAAGTATTTAATTGGTTAGACAAAGACAATCAATGGAGAGAAAGCTGTTATAAGTTAATAAGGCTACGTTCACACTGCAGCCTGAAGTGACCCAATTCTGATTTTTTTGCCCATATGTGACCTGTATCTGATCTCTTTATGACAGTCTGAACGACACAGATCGGATTTTTTCAAATGCGACCCAGGCCACTTGGATATGTGGTCCTGAATCCGATACGTATCTGATCTTTTCAAATGCGACCTGTGTCTGTACGGCCAGGTCGCATTCATCCCACCTACACGTCATTGATACTTGACAAATGTTACTAAACGTTACTAATCTGCGTCTGGTATGCCCCGCCGAAGATGTGTGTCTTTGCGTGAGAGCGCTAAAGAGAGCCGTTCACAGACGCCTTTTTCATTTGAAAGTTATGAAGGAACTCCGTATCACTAAAGCCGCTCACATCGCTATCCCACCATTCCTGGCTTCGACTCCGCACCCACACACTTCTCTGTACGGACGTTGCTGTTACTGCCCCACAAAACGCCAATGCAAGAAATCTGGCTCTCTTTCTTTTTGATCTTCTTAAAAAGATTTCGTTCGTAATGTGCCTGCTCCTGTTGGAGAAGAACTTAAAGAACGCAATATACGCTGCGGTATTACGAGTCATGTTTACTTCCGCAAACACTGAGGACGCTTGCTACATGTGACGTCATCGCGTCCTCGAGTGCGCATGCGGGACACTTCGGTTGAACGCTTTCAGTTCACACAGTAGATCACATACAAGTCGCATATACTTGGAAGTGTGAACGGACACGCAAAAAAATCCGATTTCACAAAAAAATCGGAATTGAGCATTAAGGCCTGCAATGTGAACTTTGCCTTAGACTGTGTTTCTTTGGTCCAAACATTTGTATATATCCACATCTGTCATGTTTGGATGAGGTTTTTGAGGACCCAAAGGCAGAGATCAGGAGGCAGATCTCAAAAATACTGAGAACCAAAATACAGAGAACCAAAATGTCAGAGAAAACTCACGTGGGGAACCAGAGACCAGCAAGCAACAAACAACAAACCAGCACTGAGTGACTGCAGAGGTGAGCTATATATTGGGAGACTGAAACAAGACAAGCTAATCAGAAGATATTGAGCAGGTGTGGGCAGGACCAACTAGGGGGGAAGCCAGGGGAGAGGAAAACAAACACAAGGGGGCGACAGAGGATAAGAACTCAGCACTGGTGGAAATAAACTACAAAGTACATAAAACACAAATAAACTTAGAAAACAAACCCAAGCAGAGGGCAGAACCCTGACAACACCTTCTCTAGCCTTACGGGCGACCCTTTTTTAAAGCGTTTACAACTAATAACTCAGAACGCAGGAAAATTCCACCGGTAAAATGTTTACCAATGTACATGTTGGACATCGTTGGAAAGCTTAGATTCTCCACAACCAAGTTAATTATGGACACATCGAACACCAAAGCACATCAAACACATGTCAAAATGTAAACATGAAAAAGCAGCCACAACAAGCAAGCATGTCTTTATTACTACTGTTCAAATAACACCTATTGTTTGAACTGATGCAGCTTGGGCTGTGTTCTACTCACTCAATTTTAATGTATATATTCAGAAACCAGAAGGTGTTAGGTTTCAAATAATGTATCACACATGTAACTTGGGCTTACAGTTCCTAAGTTATTTGGTTGCAGAGGTCCTACAGCTGTTTATGAGGCAAAACTGCGACCTCTTCTCAGGTTTCCATGTTAAGAAGAAGCACAAACACTGGTCCCCAATGTCCAAAACCACGATAATGGGCAGTGTTGGGAAAGTTCTCTTTCTACGTGAACTAGTTCAAAGTTCAGTTCACACATTTTAAAATGAACTAGTTCAGTTCATAGTTCATAATTCAAAACCAAAAAATGAACTAGTTCATAGTTCTTTTTTTTTTTTTTTCATATATTGCTCAATTACACCATAGCCTACTGTAGAACCACAGGCAGCAATTATTTTATCAGTTGTAACACTGAAACTGTGCGTCAGATTTCATCTTCATATCCAGTTTTGAATCCTTATCCAACCAGGGTTTACATTAGCATTGAGGGGACAGCATTTCCCCATTGTTGCTTTAACGCTTTGTTGCTGTCCATTCACTTCACACTAGTAGCAGCTGCAGCTTTCACCCCTACAGTATATTCTCAAAAACATCAGGAAAAATGTGCTGCTTGAATGGTCTTTTTTATGAGTAATTATTAAAAGAAAAATAGGAAAGTAGTCTTTAAGGTGCAAATGTTTTTTTTTATTTTAATAATTTTTTTCCATTTGAAATTCCATTTCAATACATACTAAAAAGGAATACTGGAATCCTGGAAAATTATACCAGGCAGGTTTAACAAACAAGTTACATGGATACACTGAAAAAAAAATAGAGGTTGACAGAACTTACATTTTCTAGGCAACGTGATGCATTTGGTTTTTTGAGTTTTCCTTACTTAAATTCACTGTGGTTGAGTTTACAAAGATTTTTGAGTTCTGCCAACTTAGGTTTTTGGAGTGTTACATAGAAATTTTGAGTTCTACCAACTTAGGTTTTTGAGTTTCACCTTTAAGTTCTGAGTTCTATCAACTTTGTTTTATGAGTTTGACATATAGATTTTGAGTTCTACAAACTCAGATTTTGTAGTGTTATCTGCAAGTTGAGTTCTATCAACTCAGTTTTTTTAGTCCTACCAATCGTCTTCACTACCAATCATTCAACACACAAAAAATTATGTTAATACAACATTTTTATTGCTTCAAGCCAAACATTGCATCAATAGATACAGTATAAAACCATGTTCAACAACATAATCTTAACTGCACAGATCAAAGTAACCTGACACTGGACCAGAATGTTCTAGATTCGTAAGAGTGATGATGAGGGAAAAAACAGTAAGACACCATTTTAGTAAGAGGAAAACACACAGGTAATTTTTTGTGAAGTAAGTGTATTAACATATATGAAAAAATAACAGTTTTACAAATTTGGACGGCCTTCAGTTAGTTTTTTTCAATTGTAGTCTCTTAAAATTGGGTGCACCCTTTTAAAAAAAATAAAATGAAATAAAAATGTCTTGTTTCCCAACGGAAAAAGAAAAAGGTTTTCCCTTTTTATCTCTGAGTTTTTCTTTTTAGTCCTACCACTCCGACAGGACGATGAATGCAAAAAAAGAAAGTCCTCTTCAGTCCAAATCCTTCTCTTCAGTCCAAATCCAGATGTTCACACGGTTGGCTCGCCATCTCCATTTAAGGAGAAAATCCAGAATCCAGGGTATCCAAAAAACCCAGCCTGCATAGCACAACAGGGCTTAGTTAAATCCATTCACTTCTTGTTCTTAACTGTACAGTTTATATCTCTCCAAGTATGATAAATTTCAGTGTGTAATGTAACTTTTCTAACTCATTACGAATTAACTGCTGCATTACAGGGTTAACATATAAAATGTTAATGTCACTGTTTTTCTTGTAAAGCAAATAAAATCATGAAAGCAAAAAATCCACATGTAAATAATGTAAATAACAGTAAATACCCACATCGGATTAAGAAAGTAAAATAATGTAGTCTTGTAATATTCTGTGCCTGAGTGCAACAACACTGCACTACATGAAACAATTTAGAAATTTAATAAGTTATTACACTCAACTTAATGTCTCTTTTCATTTGTACAATGAAAATAACAGGCACACTCTTTTCTGTATGCATAAACACTCACCCGCACATGCGCGGCATAAACACGCACGCGCACACGCGCATTATAAACGCGCACGTGCGCTGCTTTTCCTTTCATCAGAACGTGAAAAACATGTGAACTCATGCTTCAACTCGGTGGCAATACACCACAAGGGAATGCTAACTCACGGAGCTAACCGCTAACTGTCTGTACTTTGCAGCACTCACCGGGAAAACTGGTAAGGTCCCAGGGTCGTTCCTCCGTGGTTCTCCAGATGCATAAATCACAATGTCCGCCAATCTTCTCAAACACGAGGGAAAAAGGCTGTGCCCTTGAAGAAAGGGATAGGAAACCCCGTACCGTAGTGGGCGTGTCCATGAACATAAGCAGTGCGCATGCCCATGAGTTTACAGTTGAGGGAACTCAAAAAATCTTGTATAGGCGATTTAAAACTCCTTGTTAAACCAACTTCTGAGAATTTGAGTTGGGCAAACGTGTATTTATTTGTTAGATGTCAAATTTATATTTCTGAGTCGGATTACAATACAATTGTGTGTTAGAACAACAATTGCCATTTACTTTTTTAACAGTGTAGTAAAACCCTCAAGAACAGGGGTCTTCTATGTTTTCCAGACCAAGGACCCCCAAACTGATGGCGAGATGGAGCGGGGACCCCCTAACTATATATATTGTATGAAATTGTGTCCTATAGTCACTCTATTACAGATGGAGTAATGTAAAGAAATTAATTTCTCCCTGGGATTATTAAAGTTTTTCTGATTCTGATTCCTGGTTGTTGTGAAGGAAACGGTGCCCAGCTTGAAAGAGCTCCTGTGTGTCGCTGAATGTGTGCATTGATAACTGAAAGACATCTTCTGCTTCCATTTATCTGTTTACTGCAGTGTGTTGATTTCATGTTAATGAGTATTTAAAGACATTTCAATTAGTGGGGGAAAAACTTGCAGGGGGGGAATATAAAAATATCAACTAACCATGCAGACCCTCATGCAGTACCTCCGAAGACCCCCTAGGGGTCGTGGATCCCCTGTTGAAGACCTCCGCTCAAGAAGATTTTACTAACACAAACTGAGGGACCAGGCTGAGGTAGGAATTTAAGGTTACTGAAGTGCGGTTTTTTTACTGAAAGCCGGCGAGCAAAGTTTGCAGAGAAATGTAAGATAGTTGCCATCATCCTCACCGACCACCTGGTCATAAAACTGTTTTAAGTGATCATACTGCTGCTTTGTCGCCTCCACGGTCGCCTCCATGCTGCTGTGGCTTCCACGC